TAAAGAACATTGCTGGTCCCCAAGAGAACTAGACAGGCAGTGGTTCCCCAACAAGGATGGTGTGAGACCTGTGTACAGTATCCGATGACCTTGTAACATCAACTCCTCCTAAAATCCCTTGTGGGGAAGCCATTAGGTTCAAGTCTGTTAAATGCCTGATTCAGAAGTGAACGTCGCCTTTAGCATGTGAAAGCCCATATGCACTGCCTTCTCTCCCTCTGGACTATAGTACGAGGAGCTGCAGATCACAGCGGGCAGACACGGGGACGACCTGCGCAACACCAAGCAAGAGATTTCTGAGATCAACCGCGTGATCCAGAGGCTGAGATCTGAGATCGACCATGTCAAGAAGCAGGTACGGTGGGTGACTGTGGAGAAGATTTGCATCGTTTCCTTGCTAGACCACCAGGCAGCCATCCCCATCATTTGAGAAATTCCTGGACACTGAGAGAACAGCAGGGAGAGGAGGGCATGTAGTTCCTCATTAGAGATTTCCCACAGGTTAGGAGAGACTGATCCAAACATTAGAGAATCATACAGTCACGTGACAAGACCAATCCTGACTGATCAGAGGTGTAAAGACATAGTCTGGAGGCATTGAAAGGAGATAATGTAATAAGAATGGTTGATTTGAGAATACGAGAAGCAAGTAGGGAAATAAAAGGGCAGACCAGAGTGGGGGAAGATTGTTGCAGATCTGCTCAAGAATCAAAGTGAAAAAGAAAGTGGAGTAAAGACACCGGATGGAGATCAGTGTTGCCCTAAAATATGAGGTGGAAGGAAGGCATGGTCTTGACAGTTTGATGTGAAACTCATCACTTCACTGAGGATGTTTGTAAATTTGTTGAAGTGAGTCTGGCATCCGTATGAAATTATCCAACTGTCACATTCAAAAAGCCAGTGGGTCCATTTCTCCCTGCATCCCCTGGTCTTATGTTTACTGTAGTATCTTCCACCAGTCACCAGTCACATCCTCCTGCAGGCTGGTTAACACACAGAGGCATAGGTTTTCTCGAGTGGCTCCCAGACTAGATAAGGTGTGCAGAATGCACAAGACTGGACAAAGAGAGCCATGAACTCTGGGCTCTAGAATTCTGCCTTAATGGAAAAGAAAAACCATGGTTAGTCTCACCTGGGAGCCTAGATTGTGGGTTCATTTTGCCTATCTTCCCCCTCTAGTGCGCCAACCTGCAGGCCGCCATTGCTGATGCTGAGCAGCGTGGGGAGCTGGCCCTCAAGGATGCCAAGAATAAGCTGGCTGATCTGGAGGACGCCCTGCAGAAGGCTAAGCAGGACATGGCCCGGCTGCTGAAGGAGTACCAGGAGCTGATGAATGTCAAGCTGGCCCTGGATGTGGAGATCGCCACCTACAGGAAGCTGCTGGAAGGCGAGGAGTGCAGGTGGGTAACTCACTCAACCTCCTCAATCATCTGGGTCCATCTCCATGAGGTGCAGGCAGTGAGCACAAGTTTAAGGAGCTCTGGTGGTGGCCATAATTGTTGCTCTCAGGGAACCATTTAAAGGCACTTTCCCCAGGGACTATGCTCAACACCGAGGCTTTCCACACTGGTCCAGCAGAGGCTCTCTGGGGTCTCATGGTCTCTGTGTTTCCTTCTTCCTAGGCTGAGTGGGGAAGGCGTTGGACAAGTCAACATCTGTAAGTATCTTTGCTTGCCTCCCTCCCTTGCCCTGGTACTCTTCTGACTGGACTCAGGCTGGCAGAATGAGCTCTCTGAGTGTTGTGTGTCCTTGTCCCCTCCTCTCTACAGCCGTGGTGCAGTCCACTGTCTCCGGCGGCTATGGCGGCGCCAGTGGTGTTGGCGGTGGCTTAGGCCTGGGTGGAGGCAGTGGCTACTCCTATGGCAGCGGTCACAGCATTGGAGGTGGCTTCAGTTCCGGCAGTGGCAGAGGCATTGGGGGTGGCTTGATTTCCACTGGGGGCGGCAGTTCCACCATCAAATACACCACCACCTCATCCTCCAGCAAGAAGAGCTACAAGCACTGAAGTCCTGGCACCGGCTCTCGGTCCCACGTTGTCTCAGGCCCCCTCTCCAGCTGCACTGTCCTCTCCTCAGGTTACTTCTTCTCTCCTGCTTCCTACTTCTCTTACTCTTCGAGTTAGAACTGAGGTTTCTGAGTGTCCTCATTTCTCCTCTCTGCCTATATCTGCTCCGCCTGAGCTTCCACTGCTCACCACCAGAAGGTCGCTGCCTGGCTCCTACTCCAGAGCAGGGCAACTGCCCGTTGCTTCCACTGGCCCAGGGATGCCCCATCTTCCAAGTGTTGGGTTCCTCCTTACAGTGTCATGAAAGCACAAGCTACTGGTTCCATGATGTACAGGGTCTGTATCCCTGTGATGTTCCTCTGCTCTTTCCTCACTTGTAATTGCTGAATAAAGCAGATTTATAATATAATGCATGGTTTCTTGTTGCCTTGATTTGTCGCCAGTGGTTCTTGAGCTTTTTCATCTGAGAAATTCCATTTCATGACAGAAGGATGTTCCCAATCCCTATGTGCCTCACTCTCCTCCTTTAGACAGCTTCGACAAACACCGGTTTGGATCCTGATTTTCAGGAATCCTCCCAGATCAGATTCCATCTAAATTTTTGGCAAGTGGAGTGGGAGGGTTCTGGTCCATCATCATTGTAACGTCTGTTTCCTGACTGTTCCAGACAGTAGCAACTTAGTCTCTCAGACTTGGTCTCTAGGACTATTTCTCCCGCTCCTGCCCCAATGGTCACCATAAAGCCCAGAGAAACATTGCTTTCCAATTAGGGCAAAAGAACATTGGCAAGAGAATAAGATATTTGATTTATACTTACAATGGCCTTCATGACCAAGAAACTTGCCTGACGACATGTGTCAAGAGCAATTAAAATGCATACACTCCTGGACTGGAAATGTACTCCTAGAGACATATCCTGAAGAAACAGTACAAAATGCAGGGAGACCTATGTACATGGATGTAAATCCCAATGATTTTCCCAACATGCAAATATGGAAACACTAGAGGTGGTCAATTAATGATCCAAAGACTCAGGCACAAATCTCAGATGTTGATTTTTTGAAGTGTGAAGGCAAAATAAGAACGGAAATGCCTTCTTTCTCACCCTATAATCCTCTCACAGAGACTCAGAGAAGTGGAGTCCTTGTTGCTCTGAAGAGATGGCCCTGCATCCTCTCTTGGGTCAGCCCTGGCCTCCTTTGACTTCTGTGAATGAGTAACGGAAAACTCAGGGCACGGTGCAAGGATGGTCTGTCAAATTCTGTTTCCTGAGGGCCAGTTACTTTTTCCAGAGTGTTTTCTCCATGCCCCTCTTCCCCAGGCTCTCACATCACAAGAGAAATTTTCATGGATTAGTTAATTTACAGAGGGTGATTCCGGATCCTGCTGTATCAGTATCCTGCCGTGTTCACCTCTAACCATTGCCCCAGCAACGTGGGCAGCCTCTCACTTTGGCACCTGTTCACTTTCTGGCTAGAATTTCCCCAGTAGCAGATGGATGTGTGATGACTGGCTTCTGAAGTCTGAGCCCACTCACCAGGCATACTATTATGTACCCATGAGGAATAAGGGAAAGTAAAATAACTGACACGGAAAATTATCTAGCATATAGCAACACACAAAAAGGAGATTAAAAACAGTGTATGTATACAGCCATGCGGCTCTTAATGTATACATTGGGAGTATGTTCTGAGAAATGCATCGTTAGGTGATTTCACCGTTGTGCAAACATCGTAGAGTTGTTTATACAAACCTAGGTAATATAGCCTATACTGACATGGGCTATATGGTGCTATTCTTATTGTATCACTACCATATATATGGTTCATTTGTTGACAGAAAGGTTGTTATGCGGCACATGACTGTATATAGATTTAAACTAAATTAAAATCTTATGGTCCATGGATATTAAAACAATAATAAAGGAAAACTACGAGCAACTCGATGCTGACAAATTTGATAACGTAGATGAAATTGGTCAAATTAGAAAGACACAAAACTACCAAAACTTACACTAGGAGAAATATATCATCATAATAGCCCCATATCTCTATTAAAGAAATTGAATCAGTAATATATGACCTTCCAAAAAGGAAACACAAAGCCTAGATATTTTCATTTGCTAATTCTACCAAACATTTAAAAAAGAAATGACACCAATTCTTGCCAATCTCTTCTAGAAAATAGAAGCAGGAGGAATGCATTCTAACTCCTTCTAGGAGGTCAGCTTTACTCTAACATGAAAACCAGATAAAGACATTTAAGAAAGGAAATCTGCAGTCCAATATCTCTTAAGAACACAGACATGAAAATGCTCAACAAAATATTATCGAATTGAATCCTACAATGTATAAAAAAATTATGCACCACAACCAAGTGAGATTTATTCCAGATATAGAAGGCCGGTTCAGTATTCCAAATCAATCAATGCAATCCACCATATCAAAAGACTCAAGAAGAAAAATCATGTGATTCTATTAATTAATGTCGAAAAAGCATATAATATAATCCAACATCCACTCATCATTTTTTAAAAACTCTCAGTAAACCAGAAATAGACAGCAGCTCCCTCATCTCGATAAAGAACATACAAAATTCCTATAGCTTACATCACACTTACTGGTGAAAGACTGGACCCTTTTTTTCTGAGACTGAGAACAAGACAAGCATGTGCCCTCCCTCCACTTTTATTCAACATGTGCTGGAAGTCCTAAGTCATGCAATAAGACGAGAGAAAACAATAAAAGTTATACAGGTTAGACAGGAAGAAATAAAACTGTCTTTATTCTCAGATGACATGATAGTCTATGTAGAAAATCTGAAAGATCCAGTAGAGCAAAGTCACAGGATATAAGACTACTACACAAAGGTCAATTGCTTTCTTAAATACCAGCAACGAAGAACTGAAAGTGAAATTAAAAAACAGCACCATTTATAATCATGGCAAAAGATTAAATACGCATAAATCTAACAAAATAAATAGAGAATTTATAAGCAGAAAATTATAAAATACTGATGAAAGAAATCAAAGGTATAAATATATGAAGAGATATTCGATATTTATGGGTTGGAAGACTCAGTATCATTAAGATGTCAATTCTTCTCAAATTGATATATAGATTCAACACAATCTCAATTGAAATTTCAGCAAGTTCTTTTATAGATAGCAACAAGTTGATTCTAAAGTTTATCTAGAAAGGCAAAAGACCTTTGCATGGTTACATAAGTGAGGCACTGGGGGATTTTTTAGGGTGGTGAAACTCTTCTGTATGATACTCTGACAGTGAATTCATGACACTGTGCATTTATCAAAACTCATAGAATTTCGTAGCACAGAGTGAATCTTAATGTTTGAAATTAAAAAGAAATTATGAGGTTGATTCCAGGATGGAATGCAGAATGTGGAAAAAAGAATCTATCCGTATTACGAGTGTATGAAACAACCTCACTGAAGGGGGTGGGGAGTTAAAAGGCTGACCTAAGTAACTTTGGAACTGAGTGGAATCTTAAGACTAAAGACATAAGGACCTGGACATTAACACTGTGCTCTAGCTGATAAGGTTGTTTCCCACAGGGAGATGGCTTCATAACTCTGAAGTCACTATACACATATACTGAGATTGAAAAATTAAGTAAATGGCTGTCAGATGGTTGGAGCCATATTTATCACTGTTGATATGTGATGTGACAGATAAGGAAAGGAGAAAGCTAAAATGATCCTTATGTTAATAAATTAGGGTTCTGGATATTAGCATGAACTTTAGTTTAATATAGATGCAGATGGTTACTTACTGTAATATTTATAGCTATGTGTATATACAGGGGTTGAATATACATATATATTTTTGCTCTATTACCTAGTGGTGCCTAGAAACAATGACACTCCAATAGTAATGAGCACATCTTACACCCAGATCTTGGTTTCTAATACCATTACCTAACATTAGTGTGATGATTAATTTTATGTCTCAACTTGACTGGGCCACAGGGTCCCCAGATATTTGTCAAGAATTATTCTGGGTGTATCTGTGAGGATGTTTTCAGATGAGATTAACATTTAAATTGATAGACTAGTAAAGTAGATGGCCCGTCATAATATAGGCGGGCCTCATCCAATCAACTGAAGGCCTAAACAGAACAAAAGGCTAAACCTTCTCTTGCCTGATTTTCTTCCTGCTGGGACACCAGCACTTCCTAGTTCTGCAACAGGCTGTGGGCCTTTGGACTTGAACTGGGACATTGGTTCTGCAGATTTTGGACTTGCAAGCCTCCGAATCACATGACCAAAGTCCTTATAATAAATCTTTTTGTGTGTGTGTGTATATATAAACAAAATTTCTTACATGTACATGCAGAAAAGATTTATTATAAGGAACTGGCTCATGTGATTATATATATAGCATACATATATATGTTGATTTATTTATTATAGATTTATTATATATAATTAAGTATGTTAAATCTAATAAATTTATATTACATACTATATAATTGTGTATGTTATATATAATACATCTTTAATAAATAAATCAACAAATATATAGATATATATTATATATATACATACATATCTGTGCTCTCTTGGTTCTGTTTCTCTGGAGAACCCTGACTAATACCATCAGAAATGAAGAAGGATCCTTGGAGAAATGAGTGATTTAGGACTGGGATGGAAATACAAAAAATGATCCTAGAGTATCTTTCAGTGCCAAAAAGGAAGGAAATACTCAAAAACCCTACTGAAAGAGCTCCCAATGGCTAAAGTGGGACAATTTGAGCCAGGAAGGAAGGAAGGATGGAAGGAAGGAAGGAAGGAAGGAAGGAAGGAAGGATTGGATTATAATCCGAAATATAAAATAAATATCCATGAGCCCATACCGATATGAATAAACGATTGGATAAATAAATTAATGAGGCAGGATAGACAGCTCTCGTGCAGAAGAATTCCCAGCTATTTACATAGGTGCTCCCCCCTTGAGAGGCAGAGAATAACTCCAGCCCCCTAACTGTGGGCTGTGCATAATGACTTCCTTCTAAAGAGTACAGTATGAAAAGGGGGTAAAGAGTGACTTTACAATAGAGAAATCTGACTAAAAGTTCCTCAGCAGCTGAGCAAGGTTGACATCGACAGTGACAAGTCGTGTTGATAGCGTGTACCCTTGATATGATGTGCTGAGGATGGCACATTTCCTCTGTGGTTGTTGTCTCAGAACCCCATAACCCCAGTCTAATCATGAGAAAACAACAGACAAGGCCCAGGTGCGGCCATCTACAAGCTACCTGGCCAGGGCACCTCAGAACTTTCAAGGTCCTCAAAACAAGGAAAACCAGATAAACTGTCTCAACCAAGAGGAATCTAAGGAGACATAACGACCAAATGTAATGTACTGTTCTGGATGAGATCCTGGAACACAAAAAAGGACATTGGGTAAAAGCTAAGGAAATCTGAATGAAGTATGGACTAGTTAATAATAATATATTTATCTCGGTTCCTTAATTATGACAAGTGTACCACACTAATGTGAAGTAGTAATAATGGGGGAAACTGGTGTGTGGGGTATACAGGACCTCTCTGTACTGTCTTCACAACATTTTTGTAAATCTAAAACTATTTTAAAATAAAAGTTTATTACAAAGAATGCTTAAGCTGGGGGGCTCAAAGTGACATCTGTATTTTTAATTAACACTAATTTTGTAAACAAAATCTCCACCACAGCTATGGTGGAGAGAGAGAGAGAGAGAAATAATTGAAGACATATGCTAAAACAATAAGATTGGCTGTCTCACATTGGTGTAAACCCAAGTAGCCTGTACTCATTTTAAGTTGTGTACTTTCTGAATTTTTTAATGTTGAACATGTGTTACTTTCATCATGAAAAAGTTATTTCAAAAGAGAAAGGAAAAAGCGTTCCCCCAACGATGTCGTAATTGTAGGACAGCTGAGATTAAAGATGGTTACACTTTTTCGTACAAAGGGAGAGAAGATTCAATCTCTAGATTCAAGGCCCACGAGAATAAAACATTTGGATTGCATTCCTTTACCCACTGAGGACTGAATAGAAGGAAGAAATTTCTTTTGCAACAGCAAAGACTTGTTTTTGAGGCAAGGAAGGAGTCCTCAGTACCAATGGTGGTTACATATCGGATTTGACTCCTAAGGAGGCTAGCCAGTTGCCTTCTCCAGTACTGAGTCTATGTAACTGGAAAAGATAGAAAACACATCTTGTTAACAACATCCTCAAGTAGAAGAACTTTTTGCTAGTTAGAGAACATATCTAAAGTCCACCTCACCTGAATCTTCTGTGATCCAGCGTGATCGTTTGTGGACCATCCAGTGTGGATTCCAGCTGTGTTGGCTAGAACCTCAAGCACACTGCACTGTGTGGAATCACATCTCATGGTAGGTGGAGGGGGTACAGCACAGTCAGGGAGGAGATGCTTCAAAGAGGTGCTGAGAGCAGGCTGCTCTTCTCTGCCCTGCTCCACGCCCCAGGAGGCAACCCCTATGGACTTCCTTGCTAGCTACCTATTCATTGTATTTGGCCTTAAGAAAGGCTGGCAGTACAACCAAGGATGGGAGGACAAAGGGGTTGAGGTGTCCATCCGGCAGGAGCTGCATCCCTCTTTGACCATGACTCCGGCGGGCAGTTCCTCCTCCCAAATGCTGTCACCTACCGGACTCCAGGGGCTCCATTTCCTGTCCTCACCTCTTCCTCTCAGCCCTCTTCAGCAACTGTCCTCTGTGCACGTGTTTGGAGACCTCACCGCCATTATTTCTTTCTTTCACTTCTCTAGTAGTCCCTTAATTAGTCTTCGTTGGAGGGCATTCTGCTTCCTTCTGGGACCCTAACTGACACAGTAGGGATTCTACCTGGCGATCAGGAAGCAGGAGTTCTCCCCTTCCACGCGCCACACTCTGTCTTTTCCAAACAAACACGTTCTGAACTCGGACTGAGGTTGAAGCTGCTCTATCGCTGAAACCTGTGTAAAGCCGAGAAGCAAGAATTGTGACTTCATCTAGCAACATCTCCCTTTGGCACTAGAAAGTGGGCTGGGGCAGGGAAACCATCCTCTTTAGGAATGGAGATGAGCCCACTCAGAGGAGCCATTTCCCCCAACACTCTTACAGTCCCCAGTGTCCTCATGCTCCTGTAGCAGTCCCTTCTCTAAGGCCACTGTCATCTGTGTCTGTGTTCCTCTCACTTAAGAAACTCCTCTCCATCATTTGTAGTAATGGAGGACCTTACTTCCTGCTTCTGTTTTAAACTGTCAGCCTAGAATGTATCCAGATACTTAGGAAAGTATTCCTTCATCCCCTTTTTCTAACTCTCCATTCTCTTTCCCTAATTTGTTTTTCTTCACAACACTTGGAGACAGTTAAAACACAAAACAAAACAAAATCTTGGACTGTGAAAATATACCCTGCCATACTTCATGCTGGAGTAACAGAGGTACAGCCAGCTGTAAAGTTAACAGCAAATAATTTTTTCCCAAGGTAAGTTACAGCTGAAGAGTTCCATATAACTGCTTCTTTGAATGACAGCTGCTCTCTTACTCACTGACAAACGTTGTTCTCTAGAAACTTGGACTATCACAAAGTTTACTGTTTGAAATTATGTCAGTAAGAAACGAAACACCCTACCAGGGCCTAAAGGACCTGAGTCACTTTGACACAGAGGGCATCTCAGTTTCCAACCCAGACACAGAGCTTCAGGTAAAAAGTCTCCACACGTCACATCTAGCTCAACTTTCTTTTTTTAAAAAATTGTTTTATTGAGGTCATATTGGCTTATAACATTGTATAAATTTCAGGTGTACATTATTCTATTTCAGCTTCTGTATAGACTGTACTGTAAGACCTGAGACAGTAAAACTCCCGGAAGAAAACACAGGCAGTATGCTCTTTGACATCATCCTTAGCAGTATCTTCCTAACAGCTTAATTTCCTATTTCCAAGGAAACAGGACCATGAGTCCAGTGTGTAACCTCATGTTTGATTGACCCTTTTACACACAGCTCTGTTTTGCTTTGAATCTTCAAAACAATGCTTCATTTAAATTTGATCTAAACTCCTCCCTTCTTCAAATCCTCTAATAACTCTATCTTTCCCTGGGTTTGCAGATAACCCCTGCCCACAGTTCCTCTATTTGTGGTCTCCTTCATTACAATGAGTCAATACACCTGACTTTGTCAGACTACAGACTGACTGGGGTTAGGGCATACTTGTCACAAAGTACATTTTTTGATTGACTATTCCCCCCACCCCACACTGGAATGTAAATTCTTAAGAGTGGGGTCTTTATCTTCAGCCACACCCAAAACCATGCTGACATATATAGATCCCCAATAAATATTCATTAAATGGGTGAATAGTAGACACATCTTCTAAAGATCACTTTGAAAAGCAGTAATCTACATATTTATTTATTTATTTATTTATTTAAAAAATATATTTTTTATTTTAGTAGTAAAAGCAAGTTGCAGAACAGCATTTATAGAATGTTTACTTTTGAGTCAGGAAGAAGAAGGAATATAAACATATAGAGACATGTATGCTGGTATGTTTTTTAAAAATAAGGAATGCAAGGATAAACCATCCTGATAAGAATGATTATCTATCAGGGAAGAGAGGGAACCGGGACGAAGAGAGGAGAAGTGAAAGGCAGTAGGACTTCTGTGAATGCACCTTGTTGTTTATTTTTTTACTTTGGGACCACATAAATGCTTTACATAATTGTTAAAAAATCAAAAAGAACAAGAAAGCCATCCCCTAAATGGAAAACAAATGAAATAAGCTCTACATCAACTGGTAATGGAACCACACAGAGAAAAATCTTACTTTAAGTGACTTTAAAATACTTGATTTAATTTACATCTCTAGTAGGAAATATTCTAGAATTAAAGTAGCCACAAAGAAATCATAAACTATGTTCAGTAGACTTATTTTTAATAGTAAGATTGGTGTTGTTATTTGATACTATATTAGGTATGTTGTAAGATAAGGCAAATAAGTAATAGATTACGTCATTCAGAGCCAAGCTTTTCAGTGTGAGAAAAAATAAATACAGGTATAAAATCAGCCTGTAATCTTCTATTTGAATTGGAAATATCAGTATACATTTCTGATTTGATTTTTTTTTTTTTTTTTTTTTTTTTTTTTTTTTTTTTGTGAGGAGATCAGCCCTGTGCTAACATCCGCCAATCCTCCTCTTTTTTTGCTGAGGAAGACGGCCCTGGGCTAACATCTGTGC